ACAAAACGAACGTTTGTTTTGAACTTTCCTGATCGTGTTACGTTACACCAAATCGTGATTAACAATTGGATAATTTGCCGTCGATCATCATGTGACTGCAAAATTTTGTTGGCGATCCTGGGGTAGTTATGCCCCATGCCCCTGTGCCCTAAACTCTATTCACCAGTTTCGCTATTTCGTCTTTTTTAATTTTTTTTTGCAGAAAGTCGAAACTAGGTTTCGCCTTTCGCCAGTGGCGAAACCTCCAAGTTTCGCCTAACAACTGTAGTATGGAGTACATCCAACACCTAAATAAACAATTGCAAATTAAATCAAAATTTCCATTACATAAAATGCTTAATTAAGTTAACTTACCTCTATGTCACAAACCAATTTTTCACTTATAAAGGGAACCTCAACAGGAAAGAACACATTAACATCATCACCAACAATATTGAAATCAAGCGACCCTTGTTTATTAGACGCATCAATAATTGGCAATTGCCATTTTAGGGTTCTAGTTTGTCTATTTACTTCATAATGGTCATCAACATCACCAACAACAGGATTTTCACCAGGACTTTAATGCAGGATAAATATATTAGATAAATATACTAGCCTTTTTGACATATTAAGAATATACTTACGGCAATAGAATACATCTTTAAATTCTTGATTCTCACTTTCTAATTCATGTTCGATATTGACTTCGATTGTTACATCACCATCGGGGAAGATCAACAATTTACTAAATAAAGATGCATAAATAGAAATAAATTTTAATGCCTTATAGTGTATCCTCCATCTAGTGATCTTGGTTGACTAAATTTTATGACCAATGATCTCTTGCGGTTAGTGGTATGATCTGTTCAAATTTGAGTAATACGGATTACAGAAGACCAAGTCCTTATGCTATTCGCAGCTATCCGCATATTTTTGAACATATTAAACAGATTACACAGAATCCATATGGATGATCAATGATTCGCATGGGTTAAAAGATTTCGTACAAATAAATATCTTTATTTTTAGTAGGGATTGCATTTAACCGTTTATTTATATTATATCGATATGGTTAAACGAGTAATAAATATATAAATGGTTAAATCGTTTATAATAAACTCATGCCCCGTACAGGGTTACATCAATGTGATTTGTATTTAACGGTGCGATAATAAATAAAAAACCTTCGCAAAAACATTTTTATAAAAAAGTAAATAGTTTAATTTATATATTTTAATTTAATATAATTTTTTATTAAAATATCTCATTACTGACGGTTACAACATAATTACTACAATATTACTTCATACACTCGACACTGCTGCCAAAATTGGCATATTCCCTATTTGCTATTTATTAGAAACTTTACTGGTCAAATTTACAAGGACAATTCCGCTTCAGCGAAGCCTAAATATAAAAAATAAAAAAAATAAAGACGTAAGTTATCGAAATAAGCTTAGTAAGTGTGGATAACACGAAGGGATGCTTTAAGCATAGTTTAAGCTTCGGAGGTCTGAAGAGATGCTTTGAGCATAATTTAAACTCCAAACCCAAGTTATAACAGATTACTCTGTCATCATCCTAACCAGGTATTAATCTTTGACAAAAAATATTTTTAAAGAACCAAGTGGAGTTTACATAAGTTCTCAAGCTTAGCTTGTCAGATTTAGTTCCACCCATTACAAATCTGTATTTTCTTGTTTTTAATAAAATATTCAATAAAAAAGACAGTTGACACTTTTAAAATGATCAAACTTACCAAATATTATAAAAAATTCTTTCTTCAAAAATAAAATATAAGAGTTTGTAAATAAATACTGATTAGAAAAATTTGACCAATGGTCAAGCATTAGTGAAAATCATTAAGAAATGGACGAGCATATGTAGATAGACAATATCATGTGTAGTTGACTCGATTTATTATTGGCTGCCCAAACTTCTATAGAATTATACATACTAAAGTTACACAAACTCTTATATATACTAAATTAAAAATTTTTTTTTCATATATATATAGCCATATTACTAATTATTACTCTCTTTAGGTCATTTACTCAAAATAATCTAGAGGGTTGGATAACATTGTATGCAGAAAATATGCTGTTTACTAACTTGAGAGGGTCTGATAAGAATATTGTTTATTTACATATGCTTGTTCATTTCCCAATAATCTTTACTAATGCTCGACCATTGGTTGAAATGAACTTCACATGCTTTGATAGACAATATCATGTGTAGCTTGTGGAGTAAAAATTGCTTGACCTACTAAGCTCTTGCTATGAAAATTAAATTATTATTATTTTGTCATTATTGTTCTCCTCTTTATATATATATTTTTTTTATTGGTTTTGTTTTGCTTGATTTATGATCTTGTTTGCCAAATGGTTATGTTCTAAAGTCTTCTTTATTTCTCTTTGATAAAACTTGTGATATATCTCGTTAGAAGACCAATTATCAAATGCAACTATTAAGTTTATATTTGTACCAGCCTCTTGTGCAAGATAAGCAGATATTGCTCTGATGTCCTTTGCCTTTGCCATGAGGTCTGTGAATGTTAATATGTTTTTTAACCAATTTGATATTGCGTCAACAGATGCTGAGGCATAAGGGCTTGTTGATGATAAAAAAAGTAAATCCTTTCTAGCTTCAACAGTTCTCCAATTTTTAGTTTGCTCGAGCAACTCAGTCAATGCAGAAGCAGGGCAAATTGTCTGATCTTTGTTATAAAACTCTACAATTAAAATCTTTTGTCTTGGTTTCTTGTCACCATGTACGATCGATATGTTATGCTCTTTAGGTTCAACAATGTTAAATGAAAATCTATTTTGAACAGTGGTCATTAATTTTAAGAAGATATGGCATAAGTCGTTAAGTCTAGCTATAAAAGTAATTGAAATAAGAAATATGGTCTTCTTGAGTAAACTAATCATTAACATCTCTTTATTAGAATCCATTGCTATAATATGATTGAAACAAGTGATTATATCAATTGCCTCTTCTGATAGTGAAAATAAAAGATTCTTTTTGTATATAGCTAACATAATCCTGGCAATTGCAAGGTGATTACCAATATGCATATTATTAATAGGTTCATATGCTTCACTAATGACAGTTTTGTATATGGTTATCATGTTGTAGACTAATTTTTCATTACTTATTTTGATCAAAAAGTCTACTATATGGTTTAAAGAACATTGTATAAGATCAAGAGATGATTTTTAATACCAAACAACATATTTCCTAAGGGATGATCCTATAGTTGCATTTGACAATCTTGAAACAGTTTCCTTAACCAAGTTGATAGCTTTTTCTAAAAAGCCCTTCTTCTGAAGGCTTTGCCCAAGATAAAGCATATGAATATTTTCTATTTGGAGTTGTGAAGTAGATGTTGAAGGCTCATCCATTCTGATATAAATAGTTTCTTATCTATAATCAAGGCTGGTAAATCTATTAACAGCTCAAATAGTATTGAGAACTATAAGGCTATGATCCAGTATGGGATCAGTATTACAATTCTTACTTTGTTCTTGATCACTTTGGTCAAAATTTTGTATATTAGAACTCAAGAGGGGTTGGCCCATGCACTTGGATTTGACCAATCTTGTGCTAGAGCATTTACTGCAAGACAATAGGAGTTTGGATGTTGGGAGAAATAACTTAGTAACAAAGCATTTATTCGGTTTTCGAATAAGTCCACCTAGAAAGAGTCCCAGATTCTTTCTATCTTGTGAAATATCTGAGGTTTAAGCATCTAATCATGGTGGTCTAACATTCTCTTCGATGCTAAATTTGCTAAAACATTCAGCTTCCTGAGGATATGTTGGGTTATTAGCCTGAGATTTCTTGCTAAACATGTGTTTCAAATTTTTTCTGCTAATTTGCTAAGATTCTGCGAGACTGTTTCTTCTTGATGGTTCAGGTAGGATACATATGTGGTGCTGTTAGTTTTGATTATAACAGTTTGATTCTTCAAATCCTTCAAGTCAAGAAAGATGTATTGAATGGTAGTGAGTTTTAGAATGTTTATATGAAGTTGTCTTTGACTGTTGTCACAGTGACCAGAAAGTAGCCAAGTCCCGTAGGCTACCTCCCAGCCTTGTAATGATGCATCTGTGTAGATTACTGTAGTTGGGATATCCAGAATAAGGCTTATCCTATTCTATTTAGTTAGGTTTTGTATTCATCATTGCAATTAAAGTTGACTTTTGTTTGAAAGTAGCAGTGAGTAATTCCAATCACTATGTTTTAATACTCAGTTCTTGTTTATTATCAATGCTCTTGTCATCAAACAAGTAGAAAATACTATGCCAATAGTGGCTAAGATTTTTCCTATGATAGCTACCAGTTTTCTTATAGGAATGGCATAGTTATAAAGAGCAGCTTTGTATTTCCTACAGATATCCTTTATTTTTGCTTTCAGTAAGGATAGTATTATCAACCTGGAGTTTAACAAGAAAACTAAATACTCGATTTCTTGAGTGGACATTAGTCTTGATTTTTTTTGATTTATTATGAAATTCAGGTTTGTCAAAATGCTGACCATCTTGTTTGTTTGAAGTACTGCTTCCTTCTTTGTTCTTGAACATATCAAAATAGCATCGAGATAGGCTATCAACCTTATCTCCTTTGAACGAGCTAGGGCTATGACAGGTTTGAGAACTTTGGTGAATATTCTGGGGCTGTTGGTCAATCCAAAGGGTAAGGCAGTATAATGGTATCTTCATTGAGCATATTCGAAGGTAAAGTAGGGCTGTGCTTGTTGTGATAATAGCATATGCAAGAAGGCATCTGTAATATCTACTGTGATAAAATAGTCATTTCTTTGTATTAAACTCTTTATGTACTCTATGGTCTCTATTTTGAAATATATAAAGTACATGTATTGATTCAAATATCTTAAGTCTATTATGACTCTGTTCTTTCCTGATTTCTTTGAGATTATGAAAATTAGTGATATATAAGATAGAATATCTCTTGGGACTTCTATAATAGCACTATTTTTTAATAAACTGTCCAGTTTCTGTGTAATTATCTGATCCTCTTTTGTAGATCTGGAATATGTGTGACTTGTAAGTTGTGATATAAGTGACAAGGGGATCATCTATTTCAGAATATAACTATGCTCTAAAATAGATATTACTCAAGATTGACCAAACAATTTTTTCCAATTACATAAGAATCTTATTAGCCGTTCAGCCAGTAGAAGAACATTTTGAAGAGTTAAAGTTATTGTTGGTTGTTCTAATTGAGAAGACCTGGCTGTGATGATGGGCTGTCTTTCTGTTTATTTTTCTGATTGTTGCAATTGTAAAATCAATATGATTTCTGTTTATCACAGTTATTTCTTTCATTAAAGCGAGAATGAGTTGGCCTTGTAAAATAACTGTTGTTGTCTCTAGATGAAGTAGCATAGTTCTTATTCCTAAGAGCTTCATTAAAAAACCTGTTTGTGACATTCTCCTTCTCGATGATCAATTTGAGGTCTTGTTCAAAAACTTTCTCATTATCATTAGAGGAGTTATAAGCTAGTAAAATAGTCTTGATAGTTTGTTTTTTGTTTTTTTTATTAAGGTGACCTCTTTGGTCTTTTGACTTTTATTAATCACTTATCAGTATTGTAGTTCAATGAACTACTACAAAAGAGTGTACAATTGGCTACACATATAACTTTTCTATATTACCTATTTAAGGAATCCACCTGAAGGTTCCCTACCAATTGCCGTATCTAACACCTCTGTTTGGGTGTTCCACTTTAAACTCTTTGAACCTGTAATCTGTGTTAATATTACTGGTCATCTCAGATGTATCAGATCATTATCCTTAATCTTAAAACTAATTTATTCTCGAAGTAAACCTCTCAGAGCCTTCTGTACTCATTTTTACAGCTGACCTAGGTATCACTATGGCAGAACCAACACTAGTGGTCAGGTCTAACCATTAAACTACTATGTCCTTGTAGAGTTCACTTAAACCCCAGCATCTACTTTATAATATAACTCTGATACTTTAGTATATCCTGCCTTTTCCCCTATCCTTTTATCAGACTCCTAATCCAGATAGACTGTGTAGGACTATGACCAGTCCATCGGTATATCAGGTTGGCCTAATATTCTTTTCCTCTGATTTGTTCTAGCAGACTGGTTGGTGGTACCTTTAAGACTTCCAATCCAGAGGTTCTTGCCCATCTAGCTACTAAGACCGAGTACTAGACCTATGTATTCATTTCACCAGACTAGTCTTTACAGTAGGGCTGTCAAAAATCCAGTTACCTCTCCACTCGAGTCTTCTCAAATGGACTTCTTGTTACCTAATTTCAACAGATTTACATGGTCACAAGAACTTATTTAGTGTTTGCACCATCTGATATGTTGGTTTGCATTCCTCTGTATAACTCCAATATTGCACAGATGTTCCATAACCTGCCAGTCATGCTGGTGTGACCACCATTACAGGTATCCTAACCTAACCGTTAATAATAGTTGCTATAATACGAATATTACATAGGTGATTATCCAAATTTTTGCCATCGATAGGATTTGAACATCCAACCTACCACTTGGAGGGTTGACAACCTGACCATTTCACTAGGTTACCACATCTGTCTTGATAGTTTGTTCATATCTAACCTTATTAATATATGATAAAGAGTCCAAGACAAGAGTTCTAGTATTTTTAAGCAATACCTCAATTACAGACTAGGCTTAGAATGCCTCTTGATTGGAAGGAGATAGTTTTGACAAATAAACTACCCTAAGTATGTTTTCTAAAGAACATAACATAACTAAAGTTTTATAAGATACTCTTACCAAAGTTCTATCAAACTCTTTATTATAATTAGGTAAGAACTTTTACATTTTTTTGTCTATTGCAGGTGGGTTATATTTAATATATATGTTTCTAGATTCATTTCTAAGAATATCAGATCTCTGCTGCTTAGATAAAGTTTTCTGTTTGTGTATATTTATAAGAATGTTCAACATTTCACCTACAAGATGCCATGTGGCCTATATATTAAAGTCATCTGAGCTAAGTTCAGTTTTCAGGTCACTAAATGCTGCAACATTGTCAATATTATTCCAAGATGGTGCTAAGGTTATCATCGTCCACAACATAGTTGTTGCCTTGGTTTGTGAGATTGATGATAGTTTCATTAATAGTGTTGGTGATGGTTTCATTAATAGCATTGGTGGTAGTTTCAGGTTGTTCATTAAGCATAATGAGAGTGTTTACCAAGCACGAATGGCAGCCAAAAATAAAACAGCCTAAAGAGAGTAATGATTAGTAATATGGCCATATATATGAAAAAAAAATTTTTTTAATTTAGTACATATAGGAGTTTGTGTAACTTTAGTATGTATAATTCTATATAAGTTTGGGCAGCCAATAATAAATCGAGTCAACTACACGTGATATTGTCTATCGAAGCATGTGAAGTTCATTTCAAAATTATAGCCAATTAGATCAAAGGATCAGTGTAACGTGATCACGTCTTTTTAAAAGAGTAAATCTACGGACACCTACCAGCTCACGTGAATTTGTACCTACCCTAAGTTAGGGTAGGTAAGTAGGTACAAAAATTACCTGAATTGGTAAGTATTCACGTGAATTGGTAGGTGTCCGTAGACTTACACTTTTAAAAAATCACTGTTAACTGCCTTCTGCGTTCTAATTCGTGGAATTTTTGATTTCACGTTACACCTGACCCTTCGATCTAATTGGCTAGAATCACATGCCGTGAAATTTTTTGTTTGTTTTGAATTTTCCTGATCATCTTGGAGTAATACGAATAGTAGTAGTGTATGGTTTAGTAAAGTAGTAGAGTCTAATACTGTATTAAGTTATTTTGTCGATAATCACATGACCCGTAAAACGGGGGCAGGGACACGGAAAACTCCCGTTTTGATTTGTAAAAAATTCATTTCGATTTAGTCAAAAAATCCTTTTTATACATAGCGATATAAAAATTTACTAATTTATATATACAGTCAGTTCCTCGCAAGCACTCTCTTTCTCTTCTTAAGAGCCATTTAATTACAAATTAACATCATAATGAAACATATTGCATTTAGAGTACTTCTGTCATGCGTTTATAGTTAGAGAGCTCTGCAACCTCCCGACTAACTCGCCAATATTTCGTATTCCTTGATATCTTCTTAAGTTTTTCGAACCTTTCAGACATTCTAAATTAAATATACTCTACATTTAATTTTGCTCAAACATTCGTTGTTGTCAAAATTTTCATTTTATACCATTTTGTACTAAAAATTCTGTTTTATTTCATCTTTATATATATATGGGGGTCGCCCTGGTGGATTCATTAACAGTAGGGTTGTTAGAGTATTAAAAGTGATTCTGTATGTGTTTTTTTGAGAAATATGAATTTTTGACAAAACGAACGTTTGTTACTGATCGTATTACGTTGCACCTGATTTTTGAAATATGGGAGATCTGCGCCACAATGATTGGCACATAATTTTTTCATGCTTCAAGAATTGCTGACGGCATTGCAGCATTACGGCAAAGAATACGGCACATTATTTACCAAATTAATTCTACCACCAACTATATATATGACATAGTATTCAAAGATTTATTCTGACCCGGGTTTGACGGGTAATCTTTGTACCCGGGTAGACCTGCCTGTCTACCCGGTTGACCCGCGGGTCTACCTGGCGGGTAATCCGGGTTATACTTTTTAAGACAGGTTCAATCACTACCATACGTGCTATCATTAATTTGCGTTTCCGTACCGTACTAATCGTATTGATTTGCTATACATCCTTTAGTTCCAGTATACAGCCCGATGAAACAATGAATTAATGTCTAAATTTATTTTGAAACTATACTATTCTATTGATAATAAGGGACACCTACTCTATATTAATTGATTAATAATCAATTTGATTAATAATGTCTCTTGTATGATCATCAATGCAAGACACCAAATTTTACCTGCCGTGTAACATAAATCTGTGTTTTATTGGTCAAATTCTGTGTAACTAAGCTAAAATTAATTTCATTGGTGAATAAAAAATGTTTTTACTAGTCTTGTTATAGAAAGTTTTGACTTAAATTTTTTCATGTTAGGATTAGTTTTTAAGTTAATATTAAGGTTTGGAAAGGGTTTTTAGGGGCCTAGAACATTTTTGCTTAGAACACCTCGTACTGATTAATTAGCCAGTTTTGAGATAATGCATGCATAGGTGTAAAACATAAAATTACTATAAAAACCATATGGTTTGAGGTGTCCCGCACTGTATTATAGCGCATATTAGTTGTAGTATATAAACTCCCTAAGCTCATAGTGTTCATTTTACTATCAGTATGTATGTATATTGCATTCCTAACTAATGGTAACAACGCTAAGTAAAGCTACATGATCCAAAACAATTTATTATTATATATTACAATATCTTTTTATTAATTTACTGTTATCATTTACAATATACCGATACAGTTATGAATTATATTTACTTTGCAATAAATTTATTATTATTTATTTTTACACTACAAAGTAATTCGCTCACTAATGCTCAGAAGGAACCTTTGGCGATTTTATGGGAGGTAGATGATAATAAAGTACCCGAGTTATTGAATATTGAAAAGCAATTGATCATGGTGGATGGAATCTTACAACCATTACTAGATAGTTCAAGTTTTGGAGGTTCTTACATAGATGTAATGAAGAACAAATTATTTATTAATACACTAGATTTTTCTAAAGCTAAGTATATAAGTTCCTTGCGTGGGGTAAAGCAATATAACAATTTAATAGAATTCAAAAATGCATCCAATTCTTTAGTTGAATTAAGATCCAAGTTTCAAAAAATACGTGATCTAGCTCAACAGAATCTCCCCAAAAAAGTTGAAATATTTATTGATATGAAAGAAAATAATGTAGTTGTACATATAAAACGCCAACTTGGTGATAGAAAATTTATTGATGCCATCATGCCATTTAAACCATTAATCTTATTTGTGACAAGTCAAAAGCAGTCTTCATCATCATTTAATTCAACTCATCCATCTATTTCAAAACGTGATATAAATAATGTGATTTTAGGTGGTGATGGTTTATATAATGAAGCTAATGGTGGTATTTGTTCAACAGGTTTATGGGCGAGAGATAAGGTGGATCCAAACGTGACATTCATAATAAGCGCGGGACATTGTTTCGATCAATCTAAAAGTAATAGTGAAAATCTTTTTCATTATGTTCCATGGAATCAAAATCAACCATTAGGTTTAGTTGGGAGTGCGATATTTTATTCTCTTGGACCACACGATTTTCTCATAATTCATGTAACAGGTAATATCAAACCATTATCGTCTATAAGAAATACTGATTCTATACTACATAAACAGTTAATTATCAGTGAGGTTGTACCTATATATAGTCACGGTGCTCATATATGTAAATCTGGTTACTCGACATACGTTACTTGTGGATATGTAAAAGGTCTCGGTGCGACTTATATTATTGATTATACAGTTATGACCGATATGATATTTGCAGATATGATTAATGTCCCAGGTGATAGCGGAGGGTGTGTATTTACTTATTCGCAGGATTTAAATTCCGTAAATTTAGTTGGTATAATAAGTTCGGGTAACCGTGGAGTAAAACGTAATTTAATCAGTACAATTCAACCATTAAAAGTAATTCTCGATACATTAGATCTAGTACTTGTTGTATTAGGTCAAGTAGTTAGTGTTTAAAATTTAGTTATACATTTATTAATTTCCGCACTATATAGTTCAAAAAAAATCTAGACGTTATCTCGGGTACTAAGGTTTAAAAATCGGTTCTAATAACACAAGTTTTTTTAAAAACTTACTCGGATAGTAAATGTACTTAAAAAAAAATTTTTTTTGAAATTTGATTCGACCGGGTTATGAGAACTGTAGTTATTTTTTCTTAAATTTTATCTTATTAAATTAGATTTTGAAGAATAATTATATAGGTCATTTTAACAGGAAAGAAATTAAATCTTTTTTTTATTCATATTAAAAATCAATCTTAAAAAATAAAAATTTATTATGGTGCAAGAAACCTAAAACTCGTGTCATGTGACTGCCAAAGGCTATAAAAAATTACATTTATATTACGTATATGTGACAAAATTTTTTTATAAATTGATTTTTTGAAGTTAATATTATATATTACTAGCAAATAACTCTCGCAACGTTTCGGATATTATAAATAAAAAATTGGACGAATCTAATAGTAACAACCTGTTACTACTTATTTGTAACAACTCAATGAGTACAAGCTGTGGTATGTCATATACTAATTTACTCTTAATAAAAAATTATTTCGGCACTTAGTTTGTCGAAATTAATTTTCAGGATTTCTTGCAGTATGGGTGATACCTATTCTAAATCAAATGATTAATAATACATTTTATTAGTGGTGTCACTTATACTGCAAGAGATCCAATTTTCATAGTTGTCGAAATTTTTATATAAAAAACACTAGTAATGTCGAAATGTTTGTCAAATTGCTTTTTCAAACCAATAATTTAGACACCCATGTGTAGTATGCAAGTGGCATGCCAGAGTGACATCCTGGCATGAATTTAAACAAATGGTATGTCACTTGGCATGTCAAAATTTTTAAGCGTGCCAGGCACCCTAGTGGCCCGTAACTTAAATTTATGATTTCTTCCAAATGATCCAGATGATCCATCGGGTACTTTATTTTAGTTGACCTGATTTTCACTTGAGTGATTTATAGGCTGCTCGGTGAAGATTTTTTAGACAAATTATTACATAGAAATTTTCTTCGATCATCAATCTAATCTTTAGAATCGGCTGCGAGTCCTTATGTTCTAATTTACTAAATAAAGTTCTAGTTTCAAAAGAGGTTAATTTAATATCCAAAAATAAATTACTAAGTAGGAGTATGATTGCTTAGTAAAGTGATCAGATTGTCAATCCTTCTAGTGGTAGATTGGATGTTCAAATCCCATTAATGATGAAAAATTAGATAATTATCTATATAATACTCATATTATGACAACTGTTACTAACAATTAGATTAAGATATCTGTAATGGTGATTACATCAGTATGACTAGCAGATTATAGAACATCTGTGTAAATATGGCATTGCATAGAGAAATGCAAACTAACAATCAGGTAGTGCAAATACTAGATAGGTTCTTGTGGTTATATAAATCTGTTAAAATTGGTAACAAAAAGTCTATTTGAAAAGATTCAAATAAAGAGATAGTAGATCTTTGATGGTCTTATTTTAAAGATTAGTTTTATAAAAAGATATCAAGATCATAGTACTCAAATAGACATAAACTTTTGGGTTGGAAGTCTTAAAGATACTATTAATCAGATTACTAGAATAAAACAAAAGAAAAAAATATTAGACTAATCTAATATATTGATAAACTGGTTATAGTTTTACATGGTCTATTTGGATTGAGAGTTTGATGAAAAAGCAGAGATATATTAAAGTATTTTAGATATATTGTAAAATAGATATTAAGGTTTATATAAACTTTACAAGAGCACATCAGTTTAATGATTAAGCTTTGATTACAAATATTAGTTTTGCTATAATAATACCAAGTTAGTTATAAAAATAAATACAAAAGATTCTAGAAGATTTATTTTAAAAATAAAATAATTCTAAGCTTAAGACAATAATTTGAACATTTGGATATAATCCAGTAATATTAATATAGATTGCAAGTTTAGAGAATTTAAAATAGAACATTTAAGCAGAAATATTAAATATAACAATTGGTAAAGAATCTTCAAGCAAACTCTTTAAAATAGATAATATAAAAAAGTTACATGTATAGCTAATTGTATGCTCTACTGTAGTAGTTCATAGAATTATATTACCAAAAAAGTTATTAATAAAAATCAAAAAATTAAAAAGATTACTTTAATATCAAAAAAAAATTATTAAATACTATCATATTTTATCTCTATTTTTTTTTATCTCTATAATAATATTTTTATTATTAAATTAATAATCTGTTAGTTATCTAAAGAATGATTTTGGTATAATATAATACAAATCTTCTATATTTTTTACTATAAACAAAAATATAAAAAACATATATTTAAATTTTTTTTATATTAACAGTTCAAATTAATTAATTAAAAGTTATAGAGTTCATTAAAATGTATTTAATAGTAATTAAATTATTCAAATTGTTCAATAAATACTAATATATCATCAAAAATAATTGGTCAACTATGTAAAATTATATATAAACAAACTATTGTTTATATAGAAAATTTATATATTTAACTAATTATTTTTTAATAATATATTAGTATTTATTGAACAATTTGAATAATCTAATTACTATTAAATATGTTTTAATAAGTTTTATAATTTTTAATTAATTAACTTAAACTGTTAATTTAGTACAAAAAAGTTTTAGATAGATGTTTTTTGCATTTCTGTCTATAATAAATAGAGTTTCAATCTGGATATATCTGTTATCTATTTATTCAATATAATATATTTGGATACCAACCATTTAAATTAGATATCCAAACAGATTATCCAAATTATCTATGATAAAATCAAATTTATCACATAATATTGTGATACAAACATGATAAATTTGATTATATCACATAATATAATCAAATTTATTATATAAGTTGTGATACAATATGACAAATTTGGTTTTATTACATAATATCATCGAATTTATCATGTCTGTATTACAACTTATATAATAAATTTAATTAGATTTAATATAAGCAACATATATATAAAAAGTTTTTTGTCATTACAAAACTATTACAAAGTAATTTTTTATATATATAACACATATATATATAAACTGTTATCAAAATTTTATATAATATAATATAAATATATACAAGATTGATAGAGCAAGTGAAACTGTTTTTCACAAATGGCAAAACATGAAACTGATAAATAGCAAAACCCTTGAAGAGAGATGAAGTCCAAGCTCTCAGCAAGTTTAAATTTTCTAAGACTTTGGAAAAGACTAAGCCATATTAGAGATGAAATATTGTATATGTTGCCATTTGCTAGAGTTTTACCAGTTTTGTGTTTTCAGTTTAGGTTTCATATTTTACTATTTGCAAAAAAACAGTTTTGCCATTTGCTTAACTACTATAGATGTAATGCAACATAATTAGAACAAACATTTATTCTACCAAAAATTTCTTATAGCTCAAAAATCAGTATAAGAAACCACTTTTTGTGCTCTAACAAAAAGTTTTTGATAAACAATTTTATTATATAAATTATTTTTCTCTAAATTCTAACTGTGGCTTTAATCCTAACCTTAACGAAATTTAAGAATTTAGTCTTTACCAATCTTGTACACATTTATTATATGATTTTATAACAACTTAATATAAATTAGTTCTCATAAAAAGTTCACACTTTTGCATTACTGATTTTCAACTTAAAACTAACTATTATCTCTTACTACTATTAACTATTTACTAATAACTCATAAAAATATAAATTTCAAATAATCATATACAATTATTATACTAATTTAAAAATACTTATATATACAAGAAATATATTGATTTTATAACCACAATTAAAAAAAAGAATAACTATAAAAGGATATATAACAAATCTAAAATATGATAGATTATAAAGTTATCTGATCTCGCAATACTGATCACCCTGTTACTTTGTTGATAAGCTTTTCAATGTACAATTTTTTTTATCATTATTGCTATATTATTTAGTTATAAATATATATATTTATTATGTAAAATTTTTTAGAAAATATTTAATAATTATAATAATAATTATAATTATAATAATAACAAATTTTATAAGAATAATAATAAATTTTATAAGAATAATAATAATTTTAATAATAATAACAATTATTATTAAAAATAAAATAACAATAATAATTAGTTTTTTTAAAATGAAACATTTAAAAATTATTAGTTATACATATATATAGATTTAAAATAAGACAACCTGAAATTAATTTCTTGACTTTTAGAACATTACAATTATTTTCTAAGACAACTAAAAAATTTTCTAGTAATTAAATTGATAAGTTACTGAGTCAGAATCAATACTATAATATTTCAACTTGTATCAAAAACTATTCAGGCATTGACAATTTTTTAAGTATCCCAAATTACTGCTTATAACAGAAGTTCATTTAATTGGCCAATAATTCAAGTTAAATTTATATTATACAGTTTAGAATACTTTTAAAAAAATAATAACTAATTATAATGAAATAAAAAAAGCCATATAAAAGGTTTCATTAGAGCTGTAGTACTCTATAGAAAAAAATAAGATCTAATTATCATCTGTTTAAAAAAATTAGCTTAGTAATAAGTTGATTTTATTAGGTTTTGAGTAGTTATCACTATACTAACTTTTTTAAACAGACAAGAATAAGATTATATTTTTTTTTATACAAATCCTACAGCTCTAATGAAATCTTCTATATAGCTTTTTTTATTTTATTATGATTAGTTTTTGTTTTTTTAAAAGTACTATAAACTGCATAATATAAAATTAAATTTTTTAGCCAATTAAACAAACTTCTGTCTATAAAATTATAAGTTATCAGCATTAACTAATATCAGAAATTTATTGATTCAGTTATTAATAATTTTTTCAGTTGTTTTAGTAATAATAAAAACAGCTTTAAAATATCTATTTAGTATTATTAAAATATTGTATATAAAAAAAATTTTCAAGATTTGATATAGCCA